CCGACTAATATTGAATTTTAAACCCCCAAACAGGGGGGGGTGGGGTGGCAAGGCATTCAGAACCAACATAATTGAAAGCAAAGCCTTAAAAAGGTGTAAGATGGTTCTTATACTAGGAAACCTTTTTCTGTTATCTGAAGCCTTCCATTGATGCTCTGACATATAACCTCCTCTGTGCTGCAGTTTACCCAAGTATAGGGCTCATATAGCAGGCCGTAATGGGGGAGGGCGGGGTTGTGTCAGTTCCTAAAACGAACATAAAAGGAAAGGCTAGAACACTTCAGAATGTATTTCTGTCTTTGACCCCACTGCAGATTTTTTCCCTGCTTCTGTTCTGGGTAAACCGTCAGCACAAGATGAGAGAACAGAACCACAGATCACCGTAAAAACCTGAAAGGTGTTGCAATTCTTCCTCACTTGCCAAAAACACAACCAAATACACTTTGTTGGCTTGACATGCACTTTAATATTCTCCAACTAAATCAGTGGCCGTTCTACACATACCTGTCCAATACGATGGGCTCTGTCCATAGCCTGGAGATCTCTCATTGGGTTCCAGTCATGTTCTACAAACACCACTGTATCAGCCCCAGTCAGGTTGAGTCCCAGGCCACCTACATGTGTGGTCAGCAGCAGAACATCTATTGAGGGGTCAGTATTAAACCTGAAATGCAAAAAAGAGAAAAAGCCTTATGCCAGCCTGTTCTTTACATCACAATACAGTTCTGTGTCTTTGCAGTGACAAATGCAGGAACTTGCAGTAGAAAAAAGTGTGTGCGTCAGTAAGGTGTATATGAATCTGTCACAACTAACACAAGCGTCTGTCACAACTAACACAACTAAGCGTCTGTCCTGTGAAGTGTCGGAGTTTAACAAGCAGAGAAGCCATTTGAAGTTGGGAGAGTAATGGAAACATATCAAAATATCAGTTACTGAGGAACTTTGAGACAATTCTGCAACAAAATTTGTCTTGATTGAATCACTGACTGATTACCGTCCCTCAGAACCAGGGCTTCAACACCCATGCCGTTCAAGCTAGCTAAGGAAACAGGATAGCAAATGAGTCCTTGGAACAGAAGATCCTACCAATCTGGCAGGACATACAAAGTGCCTGCCAGGAGTCAAAGGGGAGAAAAGCACAGATCAGGGTGGACCGATTCCACAGAACATCCAGTGTTCCGCTAGAAGATCACTGTTTCTGGACAAACCTGTCCAGGTTGTGGTTGAACCTGGGAGGTCCACATCCAGCATCCCACACATGCAACACATGACCTGAACACATCCGTGTGCAGGGACCACTCCCCTGGGTCAAGGCGCTGCTGTATTCTGCCTGCTAACTATCTACACCTGGAATGTACCGCAAAAGACAGGATCTGATCTACCTCCCTTGCCATAGCAAGACTTTTGGCTGCTCCCTGAAATCTGAACGCCTGGTAAAAGGCGAGGGTTGGATAACAAGGGATTGATTCATTACTGCTGTTTGCCAACAGTGACTTTTGGTCAAGTTCCACTTGGCCCTTTGCAATCAGGAGCAGCAGTGGGGAGCTGTATGGATGCTGTATGGTGGGACAGCGCATATAGTGAGACACCACCCAGCAGATTAAGTCAGCATTCAGTCCCACAGTGTTGACCCCCTGCCACAGAAAAACTGGCAGGAACAGAGAATAAAGAGACCCAGCAACGTAGAAAGTGGTAGCTCCTGGTGCTCTGCCCAAATGTCCTACTCCCTTAGGTGAGCCGTCAGACAGTGCAAGTGCTGAGGCAATGACCTTGGAAGTGCTCTGCAGCCAACTTTAACCAGAGAAGGGACTAAAAAGTGCCCCACCAGGAACACAGTGACTGAGATAACTTTCCAGGCTATCCCCACAACGTCAAGACTAGCAGGGCACCAAATGGCAGGCAGAGGACAACCATGTCAGATAGCTGTAAAATGGAGAGACAGCTCAAATATAGTGAATTCTTTATTGAAGCAGGAAAAAAACAAAATCATAAAATCCTTTTCTCAGAGTCCATTGAGAGACAGCTCTAAAGAATTCTGACACGTAGGATAAAAGCCTGCCACTTTAAAAGGGAGAACTATGAGATGAGTGCTTTTCACTCACCTCCTAGTTCTAGCCGACCTGTAACAATGAGACTGTCACAGGTCGGCTCAGTAGATCGGGAGGTGAGCGAACAGATACCAACGTTCGCTCACTCTCGATCCTGTCACAGCTTTCTGCCGTGACAGGGGAGGGGCTGGATTCCCCGCCCCGATCTGCCAGCGCTGACTGGCGGATCGGACGGGGGAGGGTAAAGCTGGCTCTGCCTCTAGATAGGCAGAGCCAGCTGTCACTCACGCACCTGGGCGGATCCAGACATAATTGTCGGGATCCGCTTCAGCGTCTCAGTATACTGAGCTTAGGGTGACGGGAGGACGCTAGTTTGTGTCCTCCCGTTACCCTAAGGAGAACTATGGGGAAAAGCCTTAACCCCATAGTTCTAAGGATTTGTTTCCAACAAATGAAGCATTTTTGCTTGTTGGGTACACCATTACTTAAAATCAGGTTTATACGGCGACACAAAGCACACATCCTGTTAGTGGGCAGCATCATTGCAGCTCACCACAGGTCCTCAGTTACTCACCTAGACACTATGGAATGTCTCTGGCCAGCTGGTATACTTCCATCCAGCCGCAGGTATGCAACAGACGGTAGGTGGGGTTTCAGAAGGTCATGTTCCACTATATCCAGCATGCTCTTCAGCTGACAGAAGATTAATATTCTGTGCTGGGCCACAACTGCCTCTGTGCCGCTCTCTGGGGTCCCAGCATTACCCAAACCGCAATCCAACAGCAGCTGCCAAACAAAAGCAAACAAACCATTTTGCCTCATTCAAAATGTGAACTTATGCCTTAAAATGTCACTTAAATGCTACAAAAAACTGTTTTGTAATTAAATGTAATCAAATGTGACCTTTCCATTTCAGTCTGCAAGAAGGCACTTCTAGCTCTCCCCTACCCACATTTTTCTTCTAATAATAATAATGAGAATAGTACTTTGACTATAGACAAATTCCCCACAATCCTCTCTTGCGACATCTATAAATAGAACAGACTTCTGTGCAGAACTTGGTCAATTAAAAACAGCCAAAGAACATGTTGAGGAAAAAGCTGCACATCTAAAAAAGGCAGTTCTGCCTGAGTGCACATTATTAGAAACATGGTTTGACCATCTAATGGTAAAGGGCGGCCCCTCAAAAATAGCACTCACTGCAAGGGTCCAGAAAGGACAAGGAACTGCAATTCGTATGCCAATATTTTGCAATGTGTATAGTCATTCTAGGGACTGTTTCCAACAAAACTGGAACCTCAAAAGAAATTCTTTAGGTAAGGGCCCACTTACACCATAATGCAGCATGCTGAAGTACATCGCATTACTGGACTAAATGGGCTGCCTAATGCAGTTTTAGGGAGCGGAGGCAGAATCAGGACAGTCTCTGTAGTCCTGATGACTGGGGGTGTGATTTCATCACAGCTTGGGCTCGCCGGAAGAGGTAGAATGGTTCTGGACAGAAATCACAAACACGTGGGGTGGCAGCTAATCATGTAGGACAAGGAAAGCCATACAGCGACATGGATAAGGAAAGCATTCCTGTCAAACATTAGATTTGCACAAATAAGGGGGAAAAAATAATTAGGTTAGACCAACTCCCAACAACCTGCACTGATTAATAGGGAATTTTAACACAGCCAGCAATGTCCTGCTGCTGCCTCCTTGTGAAGAGACTATAATGTAGAAGGTCAGAGAGAAGGGATAACAGGACGTGTTCATCAAGTTACAGATGTGAAAAAAATGACCGCAGCGTCAGCAACCGAAGCACTCATCTAACCACAATGCCAGCCCCTCAGTGTCTCCTGGCTATCTCATTTCTAGCACACTCAGTAGTACAAGTAAAGCTTCCCTTGTTTGTGTACTAATAAATCTATAGTAATGACATCGTCCTCTTCACAGTCAATCTGTCCCTGACCTCTTGCTCAGAAGCAAAGAGATGGGAGATGTGATACCAATTTAATTTCATCACTGAAATTCTATTGATTAGAACAAAACAGTAGAGCCAAAGCTTCAAGAGCTCTGCTGGGTCCTACACTAATCCCGGATGCAATTATGGATTTCAAAAGCCTACCCAAATCACTTCATCATGCCAAGCGCTCTATATTACATCAGCAGCAGCAGTCCACTGCCAGAAGCTGACAAGCAATGTCAAATAGAGGAAACCAGTGGCGGACATACTTGTTTCAAAGCGGATAGCTTGGGGGCGTGCACAATGTCCCGCAGAGAGGTATTCTGGGTAGAAAGTAGCTCTGTGATCTTCTTGTACTCTGGGTGTAACGCTGTCAGAACCAAAGCGGGATGGTTGCATAGCTTACGCAAGTATTGCAGTGCCTAAAAGTAAAGAAAGGATAAAAGGAATAATTAAAGACGTGAACAGTGAATTGCTATGTGTATACATATAGACACCCACCAAGGCTGTCTTACATGTTATGGGTCCCATTACAAAAACACAACAGATGGCAAGATCCTGTGACATTTAAACAGAAAGCATATCACAGGCACAGCAAAGTAAAATCTCACTTGGTCATGTCTGATTAAGGGACTGCGAGTGGCCCCGAAACGTTGCTTTGTGACGAGGTGTGTACATCAATAAAATGACCACTCGAAGATTTTACTTCGGTGTGCTGGTAATCTACTTTACTACTTTGATTTGAATTGGCGCCATCCACTATCACTGCAGCACCCACCTTAAAAGTCACAGACCTGTGAGTGTGGTGGGGACCGCTTTGGAATTTAAAAACAGATTGTGCAGTGACATGTACAAGTGCGTGCACCATCACGTGACCTACCTGGAAGACATGTCCTGTAGCTTTCAGCTTCGGCCTCTCACTTTCTTCAGAAAGAGCGGTCATTGATACAGTTTCATCAACATCAGTTTTGGCGCGGGATTTTGCAAAATCTTCATATAATTGCACCTGAAAACATTCGGGAAAACCAATTAATTAAAATCAGCATTGCTCAAAAATTGGGAGATTCTTACAAGGGCCCCTGGCCTTTAACCTCAGCCATAGATTTTCATTCTTGCGGCTTAATTCTCCACAATGCAAAAATACATGAAAGACCTGAAGGGGAGAGAGTGTGTATGACAGGGAGGCACTGAACCTGATCCTCAAGAAATAAAACTTGGTGCGTGTCCAACGCTAATCTACCACAGAATTAGTTTAGCAGGGCAAAATCTTTGATAAAACCAGGTCATGAACTATGTCATGAGAGATTAAGGGATACATTGGCTGCCTTTGCTGACCTATATCTAAAGATGTCATTTGCCTTTCATTCTGATCTAATGGCTTTAACATCTTCTCAATTCATTAGCCTGGAACACAAATGATGTCTCGTCTCAAAGTAGAACACAAAAGGGATGCTCAATGTAAGAGTAGAAACAAAGCTGCCAAGCAACTAGGTTTTTTTAGGTAGTGGTCATCAATGGCAGCTGCTGTCTTTCTATTAAGACATGTTTCCATACTAATGAGTATTCGTTATGTAATTGGTCTGTGTAGGCTCAAGTATGGACACAATATTCCTAGAAACTTAAGGTGGCCATATACTGAATTTAGTCCGGTTCTGGTGGAACCGGCCACAATTTGCAGTTTGTGCCGCTATCGGCACCCTTTCAGCCGGCATCCCTCGATCTGCTGAGCTGCCTGCTCAGGCCCTGTCAGAATACAAAGGGAACAGCAGGATTCCTCAATTGACACTTGTAGTGTTGGAGGAATCTGCTCTATTTTTTTCCATTCATCCTGCAGGCTGAACAATAAAAATAGAGCAGTGTATGGCCAGCCTTAAACTAAAAACTTGACTTCTGGTCATGGAGATTCAATTGACAACTGTTAAGCAGAACAGCTCGATTTAAAATTTGTTCCCCAAAGAAAGCCCAAACTAGAAATGTTTAAAATAGTGTAATCAAATACTATGAGACATGCTAAGATTTTCTTCTGTGTTATCATTTACATTCTAACTACCAGCACATGTGCAGCGTATGGTACAGTCAAAGCATGGCACTGTCACCATTGCCAGTGTACTTTCAGCTCTCAACCAAACTTTCAAGCCCTCAACTGACTGGGGTCATATCTGGTCCAATGGCAGATCTAAATAAAAGGCCAGGATTGCATTCTACTCCTTGGCGGATAGGAGGGTTATACTTTTGATTACCGTCGTAATGAATGTTCCCTCTAAATTATCTCTTAGTTGTAAAACCGCCTGATGTTCAATTCCAAAACCTGTCGCAGACCTTTGCAAATCTGTCTCAGTTGGCTGCCCAGAACTACAAGCAGAGGCATCCAAAATACACAGGACAGTGTTGTATAAAGTTTGCTAAATGAAAAGCAGCCTGATTAGCATCTATGTCACTGATTTGCTTCATCAAGATCCCCAAAGATGTTCAGTAGTAGGTTGGTGATACAAAAAAAAGATGTGGCAAGGACAAACCCAATTCCAAAAGAAGCTC